AAAGAACTCTCACTCAGACTCATTGCTCTAAAGTGGGAAACAAGTTATAGTTGACCTAGTGGAATTTCAAAGACTGTAGAGCAGATGGGAGGAGATTACACATTTTCTGATGCAGAGCCACAGGTGGGTTCAAAACACCAGAAAGTTGTAGTCTTTGGGTTAGCACAAAATAAATCTTCACTTAGTTCTACATCTGATCTTAATTGCTTGATAATATGTTCCTTTTTGAAGAGGAACATCTATATTGAATGTAACTTTATTTATGAAATAGTGTTTTATGATAATGTTGGTTTTGTCCAGTTTGCATTTTATTTTCATTTCATGTTTTACAATGTTTGGACTAAATTATAAGATAATTGTCTGCAAAGCCCATCCTTTTTTTACATAGTGACATTGTTATGCCTTTGAGACAGTTTCAACTTCAGTAATCCTATGCACAACATTAGTGATCAATGCTTCAAACCTATTGTTGAGATGATTTTAAACTTAGTTGGACTTAAGATCATATTTTGTTTCATGTGGACTCATTTTAATTTTCTTCATCCTAAATGAACAATTGATGATCTGTTCCACAATCAGCACTTGGCCTGGTTTTGACTGCTTATATTGAACTTCTCCAATGATTCTTTGCAGAGAGGTAGTCTGATCTCTATACAGTCCATCAGGTGAGGTCCATGAGTTTAGTTTCCATTTGTGTTTCTTTAAAAAGGTATTTGGAAGGAAACTACACCAGTTGGGGAAGCTGGTAACAGGCCTTGCCACTGACCACCAAGGACAATTATAGACTTCAGGAGAGCCCGGCTGAACCCAGGTGAGAGGTTCTCCCCAAGGCTACTTGTGACTGCAGAGAGCACAGGGAGGGAGTTGCCAGTGCTTCCCTAAAGAGAAACTGCATCAACTGGGGAAGCTGGTCACAGGCCTTGCCACCAATCACCAAGGACAATAATAGACTTAAGGAGAGAGGTGAAGCCTCACTTTGGCGTGATTCTCACAGGCCTATGCTGCAGACCATAGAGGACTTGAAGGACCTAAAGTCCTTCAAAGAGTGGGAAAAGTGAACTTTCCCACCACACAGGAGCAGAAAATACCTCTTGAGTGCCTTCCCTCACAAAGGAAAAACTTTAAACCTGTCTTTTATTAATAGCTTCATAAAGAACTATTAAAAACCTACAAAGACATGGCATGAATGGCTTAACGTATACTAAGAAAAACTTCACATAATGTCAAGCAAGCAGCAGACTGTTTTAAACATTGTAAAACCAAAACAAGCCTTCTTGGAAAAAAGCAGAATATATTGCAGTTTCAATATATACCTCAAAGACAAGGAGACAGAAGAAATATATTGATATGAAATTTTTATCAAATACAATATACATGAATGATCATATTAAACACAATGTGAAGGAAGAAATGTGTGAATACCAATGTACAGAAATAAATTAGACACAATGTATATGAATTTTGTGTGCAAACCAACATAAAATGGAAAAAAAAATTAAAAAATTTAGAAATGCAGTTGGCATGAAAAACCATTGAACATACAAAATTCAATCATTCATTCTCCAGCCTAATTTCTATCACTACGTCCATATTTTCCAACTATCATCCCTTCTTCATTGTTTCCAACTTTTTATTCCAGTCACAGATTATTATTATTGCATCTTGACTGCATGATTGATCAGTTTCAGACTACACAAGTTGATCGAAATACTCAACTTCTTCATCTTTAGCTTTAGCTGTAGGTGCATACAATTGACTAATAGTTATATTGGCAGAGCTTCCTTATATGTGAATTGATAGTATCCTGTCATTCACAGCACTGATAAATACTGAAATAGTCATCTTAACTGTGAATGAAACACCATTATTTCAGAATTTTTTGTTCCTGGAAAAGTAAATAATATTAAAGTAAATAAGTAAATCATATTATCTCAGATTCATTTGAGAAGCTGTACTCTGTGAAAAGAAATGTGGCATCAGGAAAGGAGGAAGTCTGATCAACAACATGCACTATGCTGTTGACACAACCTTGCTTGCTGAAAGTAAGAATGACTTGAAATACTTGCTACAGAAGATCAAAGGCCACAGCCTTCAATATGGATTATATCTCAACATCAAGAAGACAGAAATATTGCCACTAGACCAATAAGCAACAGCATGATAGATGGAGAAAAGAATGAAATTGTCAATGATTTAATCTTACTTGGATTCACAATCAACACCATTGCACCAGCAGTCAAGAAATAAAAAAGTATATTTCAATGGGAAAGTCTTCTGTCAGGGCCCTCTAAATTATTGACGAGCAATTATTTCAGTTTAAAGACTAAGGTTCACCTGATTCAGCCTGTTGTCTTTTACATCACTCGCATTGTTTTGCATATTAATGATGAACAATGAATAAGGATGATAGAAGAATAGTTGAAACCTTTCAAACATGGTGTTGATGAAGAATAATGAAATTTCATGGATTAACGAAAGAACAAACAGATATGTCTTGGAGAAAGTGTGATCAGAATGCTCCTTGGAAGCAAGGATGGAGAAGCTCTGTCTCATATATGTAGGACACGTTGTTTGGAGGCTATATTCCTTGGAAACAGACATCATGCTTAGAAAGGTGGAGGGATGACGAAGGATAGAAAGATCTTCAGTAAGATGGATTACTACAGTCAGGGCAGCATTGGGTTTGACTATATCAGAGATAAGGATGACACAGGATAGGACAGGGCTCAGATCTGTTGTTCATAGGGCTTCTATGAGTCATTGCCAACTCAACAGTACATAACAACAACCACACGCACAACACAGTGAACCTTTCTCACAATCTCTGTTACTCTTATACTCATTGTTGCAGTTACTGTGTCAGGCATTCTCATTGATATGGTCCTTTTATTAAAAAAAGGATTAATTTATGATTAAATGATTCTCTTATTTTTCCAAACATGATATCTTTCTCAATAATTTGCCCCTTCTTATAACATGCCCAACATGTAAAGTGAAGTCTCATTATCCTTGCTTCTAGGGAATGTGCTGGTGCACTTCTTCCATACAGATTTGATCTTCTGGAAATCCATGGTATATTCAATGTTCTTCACCAACACTACAATTAAAAGCCTTCAGTTGATCTTTATTCGTTTACCACCTTTCATATACATATTGTGTTTTTGTTATTAGGTGGAGTAGAATTGAGTATGACTTACAGTGACCCTAAGAACATCAGATATAAACCCTGCCCTATCTGGTGCATCTTCAATATCTCTGATATACTTGAGCCCATTGTTGTAATCACTTATATCAATCCAACCATATAAGTAAGCACAATTACATGCTCTGAAATCCTCAGGCTTCCAAATGTTACTCATAATTTGTTATGATCCACTTAGTCAAATGTCTTTACATAGTTCATAATACACACTTAGGATTTTTTATATTAGATGATGATTGCATGTATATTTTTTCAAGTGTAGTGTTTAGGTGTTGTAGAGTCTATTTTAACTCATGATGAAAATTCCGAGTACAACAGAATCTATCACTACTTGATCATGTTCCTTCCTCACAAATACTACTGTTCTTTCTTTCTTTATTTTTTTAATACTACTGTTCTTGAGTCGAATGTTGCAGCCACACTGAGCCCAACACTGCAGTCACAGTGTCAAGTAATCTTAAGGGTCTTCTTTTTTTTATATCAGTAACCCTTTACTTTCCCAGGAATATTGTTATTCTTTAGGGATTTGAACCTCTAATTACCAAAAGTAATTTAATGAAGTCTCATCATCCTCACCTTAGAGAAACATTCTGGCTGTATTTCTTCCAAGACAGATATGTTCGTTCTTCTAGAAGTCCATGGCACTTTAAATATTCTTACCTATGACCAGTATTCAAAGACATCAATATTTCTTACATCTTTCTTACTCATTGTCCAACTTTCATATGCATATTAAGCATGGATTAAACTCAGCTTACTCTTCAAAGTTACATTCTTGAATTTAATACTTTAAAGACGTCATTTACAACAGCTTTTCCCAATGCAACATGTCATTTATTTTCTTGACTGCTGTTTGCATGAGTAAGGAGCACTGGTTGGTGCTTGCAATCTACTAGTCGCTCTGCAGGAGAAAGATGGTAACCTGTAAAGAGTACAGTTTCAGAAACTTGATGTAGGTTTGGTATGAATCAGAATGTACTTAGTGGCAGTGAGTGGGATTCCATGGTTATTGATTGTGGATCTGAGTTAAATGAAATCTGTCACAATTTTAATCTTTCCTCTGTTTACCATTGTTTTTTAATTAGTTGTAAGGATTCTTTTCTTTTTGTTGATCTTAAATTCATACTGAAGGCTGTAGACTTTGATCTCCATCACTTAAGTACTTCATCTTCTGTTTGCACACAATAAACAAAAGGGTTACAAAGTGCTGTCTGCACACAGCGGATGGTGTAAGTTTTCCTCTAACATGTGTACACTTCCAAATCAGCATTCAGTATAGTTTCAGTATAGAAATCCCCACGTGTAATGGGCCCGGAGCGAGGAGAGGGGCATAAAGTGGAAGGGTTGATGGTTTCTCGAAGCTTGGTGATTATGGAAAGATAAGGGTGATGGTAAGCATGGTTTGAAGGATAAGGGTGGATAGTTAGGTTGATTAAGGGTGAGATGTAAGTGGATAGGGCTCTAGCAAGGATGTTTAATACTTGCTTATATGCATGGGGAATAGAAATGTATGTACGATTAAACATAGAGTATATGTATAATTAATATATAAATGTGTATATATAATATTATATGGGGAGATGTGATATATGCACGATATACATAGCGCATAAATATTCAGGAAGTAGTTTAATGAGAATGCCAGCTTTGGGTGCTGGTTGTGGGACGTATGTCTTCTCCCTGATGTCCTAAGGAAATTGATTTCCATTGGTGGTTTACAAAACCACAGTAATTGTTATACTATTAGGACTTGGCTTTAGATTATCATTTAAGTATGTGGTTTTCAATTAGGCTAGCAATGGGTATAATTGCGAGGATTAATGTGAAGTATAGGATTGATGCTAGTTGGCCGATGATGATGTATGGGTGTTTTACTGGTTGTCCTCCGATTAGGTGAGTGTTAATAGATCTGCTACTAGTACTCAGAATAGAAATTGGCGGATTGGGCAGAATATAAGACTTTGTTGTTTAGAGGTGTGGAGAAGTGGGAAGAGTATAAGGATTAGGATAGAGAGGATTAGGGCTAGAACCCCTCTAAGTTTGTTAGGGATAGATCGTAGGATGGCATAAGCAAGTAGGAAATATCACTCTGGTTTAATATGGGGAGGAGTATTGAGAGGGTTAGAGGGTGTATAATTGTCGGGATCACCAAGTAGATCAGGTGAGAAGAGGACTAATGAATTGAACAAGTATGGCAAAAGGATGTTTGACATTCTATTTGACATGTTGCTTTCTGCATCATTCGTAATTTTACCTATTGAAACCAATATCCAAGTCTTCATTTTTTTCCTTTAGTTATTTCAGCTTGAGAAATATCAAGTATGTTTTTATATTTTGGACTTTTAACTCTAGTTCTTTATCTATTTAATTATAATGCTTTCCTTCATCTTCTTGAATTGTCCTTTGAAATCTGTTCAGCTGTCTTGCATCATTATTTCTTCCACTTTATTTAGTGCCCATGTGACCTACTGCCTATGAAAATACACTGGAGGGTCAGTTATGAGTTGATGCTGCCTCAATGATACATAACAAGAAAACATATTTAAGAGCAAGTTTTAGAGTTTCTTTTGATATCCATCTTAGCCTTTTTTTGCTATTTTTCTTTCAAGAATATACTTCCTTGTATTATCTTTTAAGTCTTTTCTTTCCTGTATTTTAATGACCTTTTGTTTTATTTATGTGTGATGTCCTGGATGTCATCTCACAATGCTTCTGGTATGGTCATTAATATTAAATGTGTATGTAGTTGGACTCTTGGAACCTTAAAGAATAATTCTATTCTTTCCTACAGGCTTGGTGCAAGTTGACATAAACTGGGTGGAAACAAGAAGTGAACACTTTATATAAGGAGTGCTAGTGCACAATGGTTACTCTCTTACTCATTAATCAATAGGTCAGTGAACTAGACTTCATCAGCCACTATGCTAGAGTTTAGATGTAGTAGTGTTCTTCTGTAAAGATTTACAACCTAGAAAATCATATGAGACAGTTCTACTTTATCCTATGTTTGTAAAGAGTTGAAATTGCTCTGATGGCTTAGAATAGTAATTATGCTCTCTTTTTCCCTCATTGATCTCAACTGCTCTGGTTGTGTTTTGTAGTGCATTATGTTGTTGTTGTTGTTATATACTGTCAAGTTGCCTGTGATTCATTGCAACCCTATATACAACAGCTCTGAATCCTGCTCTATCCTGAGCCAACCTTATTTTCTCTGACACATTTATTCCCGTTACCCTAGTCATTGAATCAATTTGTCTAACCAAGGGACTTCCTCTCCTGCGCTGTCCCTCCACCCTTGCAAGCATGACGTCCCTCTCCAAGAACTGGTCCCTCCTTGAAACATGTCCAAAGTATGTCAGATGGAGTTTCAGAATCCATGGCTCCAAGCAGCAGCCTCTCTCTAGGACGAATCTGTTTGTTCTCCTAGCAGGCCATGTATTTGATACTTTTCTCCAGCACCACAGTTCAAAGGCATCAATTCTCCTTCTATCATCCCTAGTCATTGTCCAGCTTTCGGAAGCATAGCATGTAATTGAGAAGATCATGGCCTGGATCAAGCTCACCTTAGTCTCCAGAGTGACATTGCTGCTCTTCAGTACTTTGGAGAGATCTCTGAGAGCAGACTTTCCCCAGTGCAATTAGTTTTTTTATTTCCTGACTGCTAGTACCAAGAGTGTTGTTTGTGGAGCCAAGCAAACTAAAGCTGTTAACAGTTTCAATCTCTTCACTATCTATCATGACACTGCCAATCAGGTCAGTGGTGAGAATCTTTGTTTTCTTGATGTGCTTCAATCCATGACGAAGGCTGCAGTCCTTGATCTTCTGAAGCAAGTGCTTCAGGTCTTTCTCAGTTTCAGCAAGCAGGGTTATTATATATCTGACTATAAACCAGAAGTTCATTGGGTCATATCTACTAGATGATCCCTCAGAGAAAGATAAGCTGATCTCCTCTTGTAAAGGTTTATAGCTTTGGAATCCCAATGGAAAAATTGACTTGATGACTAAGGGTAATGTGAATTTAGGTATTTTAAGAAGTTCACATTGTAGCCCATGCTTTGACTATATTCTGGTATTGGAGAAGGCTACTGTTATTAGTTGATGTCACCTCTAAATTGGAGCCTGTTCTGAAACTAAACTCTAATGAAATAGGTTGATACAGGGGCTAAAATCATGTACTTAAGCAAAACAAAGATTGTGAAGATGGCACAAGATTGGGCATGGTTTTTTTCTGTTGTACATAGATTTGATATGAATAGGAGGCAACTAATGGCTCCTAATAATACCATGATAAGAAGACAGATTCACTTCATATATTATAACATTTTGAATAAAGTTTAGTTATTATTATTACTTTATGTATTGAACAATAGTGACACATAAGAAGTAATACAATAAGTGGATCCCTATTATGTCCTTATTTAAATAAAGATTTAAATGAAAATTAATGGTTTTTTTACCTCCATGTCTGGCTTTAAAACTTGCTTTTGATTTAAGTTTCAAGGTTGTGGGAAATCTCTTAGAAGTTGATAATCATCCACACAGCATCCATTACCTCAAGACAAATAAACCTCTGTGTCTTTTTGCTTTCACCCTAATGAGTTTTTGAATCCAGAGTTGCTGGCTTGCTCCACCAATCAAAGAATCTTAAAAATATAGGAGAGGTAATGTACTCAAAGTCACCTGATAATGGTTACCCCAGCCTTAAGCCATTCAGATGAATAATTATCAGAGGTTTTAGTGGAATCACGTCCTAATTGAGTACAGTAGGCTTTCTTATTCTTTATTTCTGCTTCCCAAATAAATCTCCGTACACAAGCCCTTGTTTGGGCTTTTATTTGGAACAGATGGATCTATGACATCCTCATTCAATTGTGTTAAAAACAAGTTATTACTATATATTGCATAATATCTTTTTTATTTTGGTAGTTTAAGTCTCTTGGTTTCACATTAGAGATTAATATTTAAATTTCTCATTTAATGCTCTAAGTTTCAGTTTGTAGATCTCAGCACTGATTCATATCAGTATAGGGAAATGGGGAAAGAACATTTAGAAAGAGGATGTGTGAAATAAGAACTATTTGGTGATTCAACCATAGATGCTTACTTTGACAAGGCAGGCAGATAAGCTCTAGGAAAATATTCATATGGAAATTGAGGATCTGGAAATTGAAACTATATATATTTATGTATTTGGGAAATTTTCATGTAACACAAGGACTATACAAACTCAGTATCATATACAAACTAGGTGTAATTCCTATAGTAAACTGTAAACCAAATTAATGATATTTTGTTTTGAAATAAAGGAATCTGATCCAATCTATATTAAAGCGGATGTTTGAGTTCTGTTGTAAAGGAATTTTCCAAAGGCATATTGATCTGTAATTTATTTGATTCTGACAACATAAGAACATAGAATTTACCAAAATTCATATTCAATATATTCAATTAAGATTTATTGCTTTCTATATATTAAAGACTGTTTTAGGAAATTTTAAATATACTTTCACATTAATGCTTGAGAAAATGAAGGGTCAGAGAAGGAGAGAAATGCCCTCATCAAGATGGGTTGACATGGTGACTGCAAGAATGGGCTTAAGTATAATGAACATGGTAAACATAGGATAACATACGATCAGACAACATTTCAATCACTCAAGCATTCCCTATGACACAATCATACATAAAGTCACCATGAGTCGAAGTTGTCATCTCAATAAAACATTATAATAATGGCTGTCTGGTGTAAAACTCCCCATACTCATTTTACAGTTAAATTTAAGTCTTATACCAAAGTCACGCAGCTGGTAAATGGAAAGATTAAGTTCAGATCTACACCTTCTGATTTAAAGCTACATTTTAAACTTAGGGTACAAGCTATAGTAGTTATAGGTTATCTGTCTCTACTAGGGGAAGGATAGAATTTGTCTCCTTTCAGCATCTATGCGTCTAACACTCCTTGAATATTTTCACCTGTATTGATATCAGCTTCCTCTGTATGTAGGAGGTTCTCAGCACAAGGAAACCAGGTTCAAGGGATATGTTCCACTCCTGGCTCTTCTTTCTTGGTGATAGAAGGTTCTCTCTCTGCCAGCATCTCTCTCCCTTAATCTGTTCTAAGATGAAAAATGATGCAGTACACATTGCAGAAAAATAACATTTACCTGAAGCTACATGCTTTAAAAAGCATTATAATAAGATTGACAAAGAGTCATTCTGAAGTTGAATAGAAAAACAAGGGCTGCTTCCTCCTTATTATAAAGTGTACTTATCTACTATTCTGTTGACTGAAGTTTTTTTAACATTTAACTCATCCACAACTCCAGGCATTTAGTGAAGATTTACTGAATGAATGACTGTATAAATGAGTGAAAGTGAAAGGATAGTTTTTGTACCCATGTAATGCTAGCTAGATCATTTCACACTCCTCATGGATTTGCTGCTAAAGACTTTTAAAGAGATCCTAAGCATCTCTAGGACTTTGTGCAGAGCATTTTCGTCTCCTAATTCTTAATACTATAAAGTGAAGTCATAGAATAAACTAATGATCGCAGGCATCAATGTGGAATGATTGGACCCAGGGTTCACATGCATCACCATCATAGTTCCGTAGAAAAGCAGTACCACTGCCTGGGGGGAGCCATAGGTTAAAAACATGCTGATTAGATGCTGAGGGTAATTAACACAGCAAGTAGGACCAGGGTATAGGAAAGGAGAGTAAAAAGGAAACTAAGGAGGATAATAAGGAAGGTTAGTGTATGGCTGGCAAGCTTGGACATGAGCTTAGGAGCACATGAGAGAGTCAGTAATGACCTGGAGCCACATATCAAATGATTAATTATATTAGAACAGAGAAAGGCAGCTAGGAAATGAGAATAATAGACTCGATACTA